TGTAAATAAGTTCCAGAGGGTTGCTGTTTAGCATGTCTTCAATTTCCTTTCCAGCTATATTTGTATCCTTGTAGCACCATCTGGTGGAGTGGGCGTTGAAGTCTCCTAGTACTATGGTTTTGTGTGAGATGTTCAGAATGTCAAAGTTGGGACAATTCTGGGGTGGATTATAGACTGCATATACCTTGAAGTGGTTTTGACATTTCCAAACACTTAATCTGATTATTTCACATTTGTCTTGTGTCGAGCCCATACTCTTGATTAGATCGTAGTGTGAGGTGAGGCCTTCTTTTACTCCAGCTAGAATTCCACTCGCAACTTGCCGGTATTTAGGTAGATTGTACAGGGTGTAACCTGGGAATTGGTAGTACCTCAGTTTGTCATCCGAAATGTTAGCTTCCATAATTGTGAAAATGTCTACATCATAGGTTTGTAGGATTTTCTGTACTTGGATCTTTTTGTCCGGAGACATCCCTCCAGCATTCCACTGGAGGATCTGAAGACGTCGTGATTCGCCCTGACGAGGGCGATTTTTCTTATAGCCTTTTTAAAGCTAATCATAATAAATTGAAGTCAAAAACGAATGCCGAGTGATAGACTTTTTTGCCGTAAGAAAATACGTTGTCCAGGGTGCACCGAGTGGAGGTAAGTCTATCGCGCACCCCTCTTGCATAAAATTGATCGTAAAATTAATTAAGCTACTCTTCAATATCATGGAAACAGTATGTGTGGAGTGAACAGCGTTCATCACAGCTTATCGATCACTGGCTCAAAGCGCAATCATTAAAATGCAATTAAGTTTACGCCAAAAATACAGAGACAGTTGCATTGCTACACCTTTCGGATTGTTCGAATATGCATGAAATTCATTTTTTTTAACTTGATAGCTTTGTGTACTTCACAGAGGAAAGGAGACGGAAAAAAGTTGTGAAAATTGGCACCAAAGTCTGTTGAATATAAATAAAACATTACTTGTATCCTAGATAAATACCCCCAAACATGATATGCCATATTTGCTACAAATTTAAAGGCAGACGAGAATAATATCTGACCGCTAAACGTCTAACCATTTTTAATTTTGTTGTATTTTTGATAGTGAAGTATACGTTTTCATTACATATAGGTCTTATTTTTTTCTGTTTTTGAAGGCTATTGCAATTTATTAGGTAAATATTTCTTTCAAAATTATTTCTGAAATTGGATTGTACTTCTTGTCAAAAAAACTAAAATAATCTCACTGGCGTGTTTCCCAAACATCTTTTATGATGATATGGTTCAATTTTTACTGGATAGATATCTCATTTTAGACCTCAGAAAAGTTAATTCCTTCTATACATTCTTAGCCTCCCCTTACTCAAGTTACGGCCACTCAGACTCAGCCAAAAAGGAGAGAGAGACGATAATTAGTAACAAAGTGGTTTGACCTCCATAGGCCCAACAAGTATGACAACTGACTGCCAGTCCGATAGCAAATTATAACTGAAAATTTCTCCACAAGTGATGCCACTTATCCAGATGTGAATGTCGGAATAAAATTGGCACATGTGTTGAAGATTACAAGATCCTCTCGAGTCCCCTGCATATATTCGATTTAGCAGCTTAACATCTCGTCCTTATGACTACCAGCAGATAATCACATTTCCCAAGTGAGAAGTCCGGGGCTTGAATAAATGAATTTACAGACGTTAGTCCTGCTAATAAGGCTGAAATTACGCAGTTTTTCGCTACTTGCCTACTTCCGAATGCGAAAAATTCGATAATCAAATTGCAGGAGAAAAACGAATTAAACACAAAACTTATTAATTGAATTAAAAATAACTCAAGAGCAAGAACTATCGAATTTAAGGAAAGATGCGGAAATCAGTAATGTGAAATAAACTGAAATTTCGTTAAATTTATTTATTTATTTCAAATGGCAGGCGTTATGATAGGTATCATTAGCCCTTT